CTCAAGATTGGTTGCCCAAACTGCGGATGCGCTGAAATTCCAAGTTTGTGCAAGATTCCAAGTTTGGGCACAACAGACACACTAGGCAATTTTCAGCGCGATTCATCAGCGAATTTTCTCCCGCTGCAACCCCCGGCCCCCACCCCCCACCTTTTTACACTTAGCAACTATACAAGAGACTGCACGCTTCTTCGTTCCCTGTTGAATATATTATTATAAAAAATAAGCTAAATATGTCCTTTAGAGAGGAAGAAAGAATTATAATGATATTATGTTTTTATGATTTTATCTATAGGCGTATATGAAATGACGATTTAGATATATATATAGGCTAGCTATACATTGACCATATAGGTGAAATATGTTGTTGTCAGTTCTAAAATTTAATGAACAACTGTTGCTATTTTGAAAAAAAAGCATTGACTGTATAATTTTCAGGTTAATGCTCATGTTCACAGCTTACAATCCTAATGATATTTGATTGAAGAATTAGCTTTGTGCCAGGGAAAAATAACATGTGTATATAGTTCAAATGAAACTATCAGCTTATTGTTTTTAATATTTAACTTATACTTAAAGTATTCAAGTCTTGGTTAATAATTAAAATAAACTCCATCATTTGGTACCTCGCAGATTTTCCTCCCTCACAAAGATTCAGGATCCACCAAATTTATCCTAAATAATAAGCGATGGATACTGGATAGCATTTAGAGGTCCATGCGTGAATGGTAGTATTACAGACAAAATGTGAGCGTATATTCCGAAACAATAGCGTATATATTTAGATCCGAAACAATCTATAGCGAGTGATTGTGTACGGCCGATATCACGCGATACGAGCTAATGACTTGCCTGACCTTTAAAAGTAATTGCATAGGAAGGTGCACGTGTACGATTCGGTCCTAATTGCTCCAACTTCGCGGCCGCCATGTGTACATTAGGTCTCTGTATAACTAGTAGCGACCATTCTAGGGTTCATCGTATTACACTTTACGTGCTTATATGCTTTTACAATGAAAAGTGTGTAACCTAGGCTCCTCACTGCAATTGACCCCGACCTAACAGCTTTAACCAAGCTGCCGTGCGTGCGTGTGTGCGTGCGTGCGTGCGTGTGTGCGTGCGTGCGTGCGTGCGTGCGTGCGTGCGTGCGTGCGTGCGTGC